GGAATGATGAAATGAAGCAATGTTCTTTCAGGTTTACATGTTATAAGATGGCTTTGTAGGTTTCATGCATGTGGTTTCTAGTGTTTGAGAAGATAAAATTACAGGAGGGCTGCCTTCTTAGATCCTTCCGCCCTCTGTTCCAGAATAAAGACTGGCCTTCTGTTACTATCTTGGCCAATCTCTCTGCTGCTTTTTTGCCAGGCCTAGGCAGTCTGGAATTATCTTTATCCTTCACGCTTGGGCTGCAGAGGTAAATGTAAGGGCCACGTACTCTTGTCTCCTGTCTTCATTCCTCTGGGTCTGTTGTTGACTTAGATTCATGACCTTTCCCAGCAGGGGTCTCGAATTTTCATGTCTTCCTCTCAAAAAAAAAAGGCAAAACTTCTTCATATGGGGGGAGGAACAACTGACGACAGTTTAGAGTAGCTCAGATAGGTTGTATTCCAGGCCAAACTCGAAGCAGACAGATTTGTCTCCTATCTCTCCTTGACTATTTCTGATTCTCTGTTTTCAGTGTCAAGCCACCCTGGGCCCCCAGAGCAGCTCCTTGGGGCTCTTTATCAGCTCCGGGAAGGCTCCTACCTACAGCTTCACCCTGACCTCCATACCTCTCCCGCCATCACCATCCCCTCCGAACATACCCGGCCTTCAGCACCTTTATTGTAAATTGACCAGGTGTACCAATTGGCTTCACAGTGAGAATTAAGGGCAAGGGCATTTTTTTTGAGATGACAGACCTTCATGCCACTCAATGTAAGCAACCGTGGCCTTAGGACTAGGGGCCCCATAAAGATTGATGACAGATGAGTGAAGATGTGGCCTATGTGGTGTTCCCTTGATTCCAAGAACCTTCCTCCAGCCCCGTGAGCATCAGTGACTCAGCAGCAGCAGCAGAGGACCAAATTGTTCCCGAAGTAAAGCAGATAAGAGAACACACAAGGTGGTATTTGCCAGGGTGAATCATTGCCCTTTCATCACGTTTGCACTGTCTACTTCTGACCCAAGGTCCCTCGCTGAGCAAACTGATACCTGACCAGCTCATCTCTCCACAGCGGATTCGGCACATGCCACGGCCTCTGTCGCAACGCCACGCTCTCCCTGACTGCCTTGCTCTGGGGAGGTGGGCTCTGCCACTTACATTCCAGGCTGGGGGAGGCAGGTGACCAGCTGTGGGCCTCGGGGCCCCTTTCCCCCAGTGAGAACTGGCCCTGAGTTCCCACAGCTTTGCCGTATCTTCCCACAACCCTACATCGAGCTCCGTAATTGATCATGGGAAGCACTCTGCCGTAGAGAAAAGCAGCTGGGAAGGCTCCGGGAGATCCTGATTTCCGGCTGTGCTAGCACCAGCAGCCAATGAAAACACTGTTCCATCCGTTTGCTGTCAGAGGCAGCAGGAGCTGGAGTTCTCACACCCAGGTCAAGTGAACACGAACCTGAGAAGGAAGCTCTCTGTAGTTAGGGGAGGCTCTGCCAGCTTTGTTAGGCTGCCGTGGTTTCTGGGTTGGAACTACAAGACCCCCAGCTGAGAGCATAGGTTGGGGACCCCAAACAGGGATGTGAGCTATGTTGGGCCACACACAGCCCTAGAAACTTTTCAGGGGCTCCTCCTGACCAGCAGTCATCCGGATCTGACTCATTCTTAGCTCACTGGGAATAACGGCAGAGATGGGTCTCTTAGTCCAACTGAGGATGTTGGATTGGGGCAAATGCAGAAATACATTCCTGGTGTGTGTGTGTGTGGTGTGTGTGTGGTGTGTGTGTGTTGGGAGGGGTACTATTTACTTTCTGATCTGAGAGCAAATGTGATTGAACCTGAAAAGACTCTAGGAAGGGCAAGTTACAGGCAAACATAAGTGTTACCAGTTTGCCTCTTAAATATTTATCCATCTGTATTTAAATATTCGTCAGCCTAAATTTCCTTATCTTGAGAGGCCATACAACCTGGTGATGAAACCCACAGGCTTTGGCATCAGACAGATCTGGGCGTGAATTCCAGCTATACTCCCTGGGTGGTCTTGGGCAAGTTACATAACTTTTCTAGGTCTCGGTTCCTTTGTTAGTAAGATGGAGATGGTGATAACAAATTGTTCCCTCCAAATAGAGTTATTTTTGAGGCTTGAATGAGTGAATGCAGTCAAAGTGGTAGAACAGTGCTTTATTAAATAAATACTCCAGTGTGGGGTGGAAATACTCCATACATGTCAGCTATCATCTTAGGAATGTGAAAGCTCATCATTTTTGGGTAAAAGTCAGATTTACTTAGGTCTAATTTATGTACAACAAAGTTTACCCCTTTGGGTGTACGTTTCTATGAGTTTTAACAAGCACGTACAGTCATGTAACTGCACCACCACCACCGCCACAGTCAAGATGGAAACCCTAAAGAGTTCCTCTGTGTCCCTTTGTCAACTCCTTTCCCACCATAATCCCAGGCACACACCGATCTGTTTTCTGTCCCTGTAGTTTTGACTTTTCCTGAATGTCGTATAAATGGAACCACATAGTATGTAGAAGATCATTTTTAAAGAAGAACATTTTTATACTTGACATCCAATAAATTTCTAAGCATATTTAAAGAATCAAGATCTAATTTTCATTCCAAATCAGATGATATTATTTCCCACTGACTTACAGAAGGGGTGGAATATTTTTCAAGCGCCTCTTGCATTAGTGCCTTTATGGGTAAATGGGTCTTTCTCAGACTCTCTCAGTCATTCAGTCTCCATCTTGAGGCTGGAGTTGGCAAGGAGGAGGGGATGAGAGACAGCAGAACTCAGGTACTCAGAAAAGGGAAATAAAAGCCATTCCCCTTCTTTTCTGAATGGCTAGAGAGACGAGCAGATTGTCATGTGAGGCAGGAAGTGAGTGGCATGGTTCTCCATCTCTCCGTCTTAGGGGAAGTCTGGGGAGCTATGGAGAGGAACGCCAAGGGCAGGGGCATGTCGTTTTCATTTGTTTGTTTCAATTCATGGCTTGGACTCTGGGATGAGGTTGCCTGGCAACCACCCTGCACCAAACCTGGGAGGTAGCCACTCAGCGAGCCTAGTGGCACCGTGACTGTCTCAGTTCCTGCCTGGCATGGTGGGGCCACTGACGTTCCCTCAGGGAGTGGGGAAAGCAAAGTATCTGAGTTGAGAGGGATGCGCTGTGACAAGGGAAGACGATCCTATGGCAGGGAGCACAAGCTAATTCCCTAGACCAGGGGCTGGACAGAAGATGTGGCTTGGAGGGTTTAACACCAGCAAGGGGCTGCAGGAGCCAGGCAGCCAGAAATCACCCCCAAACGCTGGCCAAGGGGCTGGATGTTGAAGCGCACGTCCAGTCAACTTAGCTGTCTGCAAAGGTCAGCAGGGAGGCAACAGAGGGCAACAGTGGTGATCAGGGCATCCAGGGACACTTCTTGGATTCTAGAACCCTGCTACCCTAGTCCCATGAGGATTCAGCTAACACACCCCTCCCCCAATCCTACCTTGGGGGCAACAAAATCAGAGAACCTAAGCATTCTTCCTCAAGGATTGTTTGAATGATTGCAGCCAACTAAGGTGACTCAGTGGTCGAAGGCTTGAGAGGAAGTCAAAAGCTGTTTTCTCAGCTCATCTGAGCACAATGTGTGTAAAACTCTAGACCCAGGGCACCCCCATGACAGCTTCATGGCTACTTTATCTTCATTTCTGATCTGTTACCTCTTGACAGCAGCCTCGAAAACTGCAGCTTTAAGAATCATGGTCTTGCTTCCTTAAAAATTTAAAAATAGAGCTACCATATAATCCAGCAATTCCACTCCTGGGCATATATCCAGAAAAGATGAAAACTTTAATTGGAAAAGATACATGCACCCCAATGTTCATAGCAGCACTATTTATAACAGCCAAGACATGGAAGAAACCTAAGTGTCCATCGACAGAGAAGTTGTGGTATATTTATACAATGGAATACTACTCAGCCATAAAAAAAGGATGAAATGCCATTTGCAGCAACATGGATGGACCATACTAAGTGAAGTAAGTCATGGATGGAGATTATCATACTAAGTGAAGTAAATCAGACAAAGACAAATATCATGTGACTTATAAGTGGAATCTAAAAAAAATAGACACAAATGAACTTATTTAAAAAACAGAAACAGACTCACAGACATAGAAAACAAACTTATGGCTACCAAAGGGAAAAGAAGGGGAAGGGCTAAATTAGGAGTCTGGGATTAGCAGATACAAATTACTATATACAAACTAGATAAACAACTAGGTCCTACTATATAACACAGGTAACTAATTTCAATAGCTTGTAATAATCTATAATAAAAAAGAGTATATACATATATGGTGTGTGTGTATAACTGAATCACTATGCTGTACACCAGAAACTAACACAACATTGTAAATTAACTATACTTCAACTGAAAAAAAAAAAGAATCATGGTCTGCAACCAATAGGCCAATAGTGCAACACATCCCTCTACAAATAATGATTTTTTAAAAATTGGTTACTTAAATAGACAGTCTGTAACCTGTCTTTAAGTTCAGGATTTCACCATTTAGATTTCTTCAGTGAGCCCTTGCCCTCCCTTTTTGGATACACACAAAGGGACATCATGCCATTAGATGCATTTATGCATTTCCACAGAGCAAACATGAGTTTTTCCTCATGAGCAACTGAAATAAGATTTGGATGCTAGGAGATTAAGAAAATGATTATAAATAACAGGGAAAACAAATATCCTTTATTTGATAGCAAATAAACTTTAAATGTTAAGGCAGGTTCCAATGCCACAGTGATCAAGTAATTAGGAGTTCCAATGGAAAATGAGCTTAACCCAGAGAAATGCAATAAACAATTATAGTTCCCATGTGTAACTGGGCAGGAAAAAAAAATGAGATTTAAGAAGGTTGAAGAATTTCTTTGTAGACCTCCCTCAAGACTGGATGCTGGAACATGAATGAGTCACTGTAAAGTACGTCATTATAATTATTATTATTATTATTATTATTTTGCACCCTTTTATTACTCTGAGGCAAGGAAATCAATCTAGGGAAAAGGTGAGAGTTGGCATCTTGAAATGCACTGGGAAATTATAAATTATGAGAGCTATTGATAAAGGTGGTATTTATAGCTCCATAACGGATTTTATATTATTTACGTCTGGACTACGTACACAATCAACACCCACTAACACACTCCAGTTAATTAGTGCTGCTTCCATTTTCAGAGTCACATGAGACTTCTTGTAGCCAAACACACATGAGATGGAGACGCTTTGAGAGGGTCACTTGGATCAAGACTTAAAATACAGACATTTAAAATGAAGGCCTCTCAAGCCAGACTGTTCATTTTGACATAAACTGGACCCAAATTGGTATCACTGAGGCTGTATTTTTGGTACCCGCCTACAAACACAAATTCTCATGTGTGATGTCAGATGGTACATATATAAAATAAGTATATAAAATGTCCACTGACCTGGTGAATTTCTGATTCTGAGAACTCTGGGAGAGTTTTCCCCCAAATCCCATCTTCGGATCCTGTAGCTGGGAGGAACATCATCAAACCGGGAGCATCAGCAGTCCTCTTTGACTAGCTACCTCAGTCCATCCCCCTCGAGTCTTGAGTTCCTCTTCCTTTGGTGAGGTCTTGAGTTTCGTTCATTCAACTACTGATTTATTCATTTGTCTTATCAGTGATTTATTGCTGTGTCATAAATTACCCCCAAGTCTTAGTGGCTTAAAACTGCACACATGGTTTTACCTGTTGGTTTCTGAGGGTCAGGCGTGGTTTAGTTGGGTTCTCTTGCTTCAGGGTCTCTCATGAGGCTGTAATCAAGGCATCAGCCAGAGCTGAGGGACCTCCAGTCAGGAAGCGTTCACTCCCAAGCTCACACGGCTGTGGGCAGGATTCAGTTCCTCGCAGGTCGTCGGACTGGGCCTCAGCTCCTCCGGAGGCCACCCTCAGTTCCTTGCTGTGTGACCATTTCCAACATGGCGGCTTGCTTCATCAAAGCCTGACAGCTGAGATGGTAACAAGCAAGATGAAAGTTACACTCTTTTTATAACCTGATAATGGAAGTAAGATACTCTCGATGTTGCCATATCCCATGGTTTAGAAGCAAGTTTCTCCGGGTAAGGAGATTACACAAGGCAGGTGGGGATCACTGGGGGTCATTTCAGAAGTGGCCAATCACATTTGTTAGGAATTTGTTGAGCATCTCCTAGCTGCCTGACCCTGGGCCAGGTGCAGGGAATAGAGGGATGAACATCCTTCTTTCATCAGAACTCACTACCTATCTGGGGGAAAGGGACCAGACATTCAATAGATTATTGCAATTGGTGATAAACACACTATGTTAGAAATACAGGGAATAAAAGCTCCAACCCGGTCTAGGTTGAGGGAGGTAGATACCAGGCAGGGACATAGCAATGGAGGCTTGAAGAAGAACTGGCCCAGGAAAGAGAAGGAGGAAGGAAGTTTTCCAGGTTGAGGAAAGATCCTGTGCAAACGTCCTGAGGCAGGAAAGATCATGTGGTATTTGAGAGAAGAGTAGCTGGAGTGTGGAGGAGGGAGTGGGGCCCTGTCTGCTGTCTTAAGGAGTCTGGTCCATGACCAGAGACCATGGAGAAGCCCTTGAGAAGTGATTCAGAGAGCCCTTAGGCCTCCTTTCTCCTTCTCCTGCTGCCTTCTCTCTCCTGGCTGCAGTCAGTCTTGAGGCTGTGACCATGATCAGATGCCCCTGAACGGCCTGCCTCCTTTATCCTGGGATGATATCCTGCTGTTGTGGTACATATAGACCCAAAGGCTCTTCCTCCTCCCACCTATAGGATTTTTACTAGTGTTTTTAAGCAAAACCAGATGTAGACTCTTAATACATAAAACAGACAAAAGCAGAACCACTCAGATCAAAGTCAGTTTCAGGAGAAGGGGCCCTTGTGAGAACCCTCCCCCACATTTCCATAAGGATCCCCAAGACACCTCTCTGGAGCTCCAGGACTCTGAAAATCCTAGCTGGAGAAACATGTCCCGAGGCCACAACTTTGCCAACCATTATTCCCATGAGATTCTCTCAATAAACTTGTACTGAATCCATACCACATTATCAGGCATGAAGGAGGCCCTGAGAACATGAAGGTGGTTAATTTAAGACAGTGTCTTCCCTCCGTGCACTCCCCGTCTAAGGAGGGACTCACGGGGGTGAATGACTCACCGCATCGCCATGTGATGTGCACTTGCAGAAGGTGGGGCTGGGAACCTGGTGGCTCAGCGGGGACACAGGCAGAAAAGACTTCCAAAGTAGATGGTGCCTTGGATGGACCTGGAGATGATCACACCAAGTGAAGTGAGTCAGAGAAAGACATATATCACATGATATCACTTACATGTGGAATCTAAAAAATGATACAAATGAACTCATTTACGAAACAGAAACAGACTCACAGACATAGAAAACAAACTGATGGTTACCAAGAGTTCCGGGAAAGGGAGGAGGGAGGGATAAATTAGGAGTCTGAGATCAGCAGATACACACTACTATATATAAAATAGATAAACAACAAGGTCCTACTGTACAGCACAGGGAACTATACTCAATATCTTGTAATAGCCTATAATGAACAAGAGTAGGAAGAGGAATATATATGTATATATATAACTGAATCATTATGCTCTACACCAGAAACTAACACATTGTAAATCAACTATATTCAATTAAAAAAAAGTTTATGAAGCTTGAGTTTGCAGGTCAACAAGAGGCCTGATGGTCCCTGTCTCTGGGGAGGTGCCCTTGCATTTACCCCTTGCCCCTGCTCATCTCAGACCCCCCCATCCGGATGGGGTGCCCCTCTCACTGTGCTAAAACAGCTGCTCCAGGCTTTCAGTGGAAAGGCCCTGATGGAGCTCCCAGGTTCTGTAACAGCCATGGTGTGAGTAAGCCCATACTGGGTTTTAATTTCTCAGTTTCTGGACGGGAACAGAAAATGTGCAGCTTGCCACTGTTCTATATCCCCAGCTGTCTTCTCCACTTCTCAGTGGAGGGACGGAGCAGGGATCACTCTGTATCCCAGCTCACTCAGAGCGTTTCCTCCCACCGAGGCTCTGTTCAGAAGAGGCAGCGGACCTCCCACCTGGTTTGAGTCTCAGACCAGGGTCACCCATCAGGTCTCACGTGTTCTGTTGGTCTCATGAGTTCTCCCTGATGGGCCTGGACACTTTAGAATTCTAGGGAGCGCTGGCTTCCGTTTGCTGAGTAACTATCCAGGGATTTGACTAATCATTCATAACCACAACTGAAAGTTCCTACCAGCCCCCAAACAGTCAATTCAGTAAAAGTAAAGTCTCAAATTTAAACTTAAAGCAACTGAAGTCTGAAATTTAAAGTAGGCTGAGGCTATGTGATAACAGAACAACTAACTGGCCCTTCAGAGGAAAAGGCTTCGGGACCGGATGTTGGCTTGTGCAAGCCAGGCAGCCTCTTGTTTAATTGTTTTATCTCTGATGACTCATTCGGAATCTTTAGCTTAGCCTCAGGCCAGGTTTGGATAATACCAGCAAAGGAAGCCAGCCCAACTCTCTCCTCCTTCTTAAGATCTTCCTTCCAACACAAAATAAGCTCCATCTTTGTCCTACAAACTCTAATCACCTTTGGATTTTTCCACACGTTGTTAAGTCCTAGCATCATACCTTGGAATACCTACACCTCTTATCATGTTTTTACAACGTTTATGAACAGTTTATACTGTTTTCCCTGCTCAGGTGGTGCATTTTGTCTGCCAGAGTAGATGGTAAGCTCCTTTCCTCTCAGGGAATGCTCCCCCCCATATTGGAATTTCTGGTTGTTTCTCACTTCCAAGAGGCTTAGCACCATGTTGGGCAAGCAGGCACTCTAGAAATATTTGTGAGTGAATGAATAACTATGGTCCACCCCATGTATCACGCAGCCAGTCTCCCTGACACGAGGAGACCTAGCTGAGACCCAGCCAGGGCATCGGTGAGGGAACGAGGCCGTCTGGGAGGGCTGCACGTGGTTCACAGCTGGCAGGCAATGGGACCCCAGGTCAAGTACGTGCAAAATTTAACATCTTTATGCCTTAAAAAAAAAGTCCCTTTTCCTTTAGTTGTAATTTAGCCATTTTTACCACAATTCATCTCTTTTACTGGTTGATTGAAATAAAATGCACAGCCAAAAAGGAGAGTTATGTTTTATTCGGTGGACATACCTGAGGACTGAACCCATTGAGCCCGGAATGACAGCCTCTCAGATCACTCTGAGGGACGGCTCCGGAGAGGTAGGGGAGGAGGCAGGATATACAGGAGTTTTTGCAACAAAGACCAGGTAGTCGGAACATCAAAAGATGCCTGTTAATTAAAGAAAACCAGATATTCGCAAGTTAAAGAATTTAGTGCTTTTCTATGCATGGAAAGGTGCAAAGGTCTGGGCTCATGGAAATCATTCCTTTGATGTGCACCTAGCTATCCAGGGCCAGTGTCCTGTGCTTTCCCATCCTGAGTTCCCCAGGCAGGGGGACCGTTGAACGTGTCTGCAGAGGACAGCTGGCTGCCTGCTTGTCTGCATCCTGAGTTGGCGATAGCATCTGATGACTTGAGGCCATGGCATTCTTTTTTTTAATTTATTTTACAATGTATTTTTAAGATTGAAGTATAGTTGATGTACAATATTATATGTTACAAGTACACAATATAGTAATTCACAATTTTTAAAGGTTATACTCCATTTATAGTTCTTATAAAATATTGGCTGTGTTCCTCGTGCTGTACCATACATCCTTGGAGCTTATTTCATACCTGAGAGTTTATACCTCTTAATCCTCCACCTCCATCTTGCCCCTCCCCCCTCCCCACTGGTAACCACTAGTTCCTTCTCTATACCTGTGAGTCTGTTTCTTTTCTGTTATATTCACTAGTTTGTTGTATTTTTTCTAAGACTCCACATGTAAGTGGTATCTTACAGTATTTCTCTTTCTCTGTCTGACTTATTTCACTTAGCATTATGCCCTCCAAGTCCATCCATGCTGCACACCAGAAACTAACTCAACATTTTAAATCAACTCTCCTTCAATTAAAAAGCAAATAAACAACCAGCCCATTTAAAATATGGGCGGGAGAACTGAACAGACATTTTTCCAAAAGAGGAAATGCAGATGGCCCACAGGAACATGAAAAGTTGCTCAGCATCACTAATATCAGGGAAATGCAGATCAAAATCACGAGACACCATCTCACACATGCCAGAACGGGGCCACGGCATTCTCTGTTGATACGGCTTGTAGTAGTTTTCGTTCACACACTCAAGAGAGTGGTCCCTGAAAACAGCCCAGCGGAGGATTCTGCTAAGAGCAGCGTGCGTGTGGTTTTATTTCCTATTTCCAACGACTTCCGTTTCCTCAGAAGGCGGGCAGTTAGAACTTCACCTCCTTTAACAGAGGGGAGAAGCTGACTAGCAGGTAACACAACCAGATGTTCCTGATGTGCTTATTCAAAGAATTTGTGTTTTAGTGCAAGCGAGGGGGCTGCACGGTCTTCACCCTGGATAACGTGGTTATCCAGGGAGGGGGTAGTCCTGTTCTTAGGACGCTCTGCCGGCTTTCTGGCTGTGGGTGACTCATTCAACCATCTGGCAACTTTCCTGCTGTCATTAAAGGTGAGGAGGAGAGCAGGGATGGCACAAATTGCTTTTCAGGCCTAAGGATATTGTGAAAATGAATTGCTTATTGTCCCTCCCTTCTAGGAAAAAGTTCCACAAAATGTGTGCATTCCTGGACTCGGCTTTTTCTGTAAACTGGATCCTCTTCCTGTCTGCTGTCTTTCTAGCAAAGGGATTGCTTTCCACTTGACACCTTTCCAGAGGCAACCAGTCAAGTCTTGTCAAGTCTTTTCAAGTCTCCCTTTCCAAAGCTTGTGCCTCTGTTCTTTTTATATACCTCATTCATTCACTCAGTGACAGTCACTAAGCATCAGTGAAATGCAAGCCATTGTATTGGATAAAAATAAGAATAAGACTAAGAAATGAACAGAAGTAAGACGCAAGAATTGGTTCTCACCAGTAAGCAGCTTACAAAGCTTCTTAAGGGCCACACTTTTCAACTGTTTCTCAGATATTTTCCTCACATGTGAGAAACCGGAGGTCCAAGTCTAGTCTCCTGTCTGCGGTCTCTTACCTGTTTTCTCTAATCCAAGCATTCCCTGGCCAAATTAATACTCCTAAATAAACATTTTAATCATCTTACGGAGTTCAGACTTTCAATAGCTCTTCAGTGCTCCCAGAATAAGGATCAAACTTTCAATTTTACTGTGAAGCTCAAAAGCATCTAAGATATGAAGTGAACTTATTTCCTGACCTCACTTCCCACAACTCATTATGAATTTCTGCTCGGATAAATTGGTCAGATCACTAAACTCAGAGTATATGTCCGACCTGTCTATTTCCATGTTCAACAGTGGATTGGATGTCTTCTGAGTGGCAGTGCTGTGATAAAAAATGGTGCCCCGTTTCTGCATTCAAAGAGCCTATTGTTTAGACAAGGATACTGACGAAGGAATTGACCATGACAATGATGGTAGGAACATTGGGTGTGATTAAGCACTGGATGCGAAGAGAGCACACAGAACCACAGCTAACCCAGCTTTGGAGAAGTCAAGGAATGGTGTGTGTGTGTGTGTGTGTGTGTGTGTGTGTGTTGAGCGCAGGGAAACTGCAAGAGAGGCTGAAGAGGGAAGCAAACCCAGAACATTGGAGAGCTCATAAACTTGGCTGACAGCGTTAGGATGGATGGGTTTGAAGCAGCAGATGCCCGGATCTGGCTGTCATCTAGAGAATGCCACACTGCAGTCCCATAAATCAGGAATGGAGTGTTCAGGAGCGTTAAGTAAGGTCTTTCTTTCCAGGATTCTTGTTAAGTTGTTTGGTCAATTTCCCTACATTAGTCCTAAAAGTACAAGAACTCCAACTGAGTCCTTCTTTGAGAATTCAGGCTCTTGGAGGACCTTAGGAGAATCATATAAAGGAGACTTGCCTACATCAATACAGAGACTAGCACCTCACCTAGTGGTACTTCATATCAAACTCTGGCCACAAAGGTACTAGTTACCACCGGTTGAGTGCTCACTACATACCCATATGGTTGCATGACTTTGAGTGAGATAACGATTACTATACCCACTTTAGTGATGAGAAAACTGAGACTCCAACAGTTTAGGCAACTGGCTTGAGGTCTTAGGGTTGGTTGTAAATATTTGCTTACTGTGAACAAATAAAGTTGGAATTTGAACCCAGAATTTTCTTATGTCAAAGTACAGGTA